CCCACGCTTGTCAAACAGGAGCTCTCCGCCATCGTTGAGGTTGTAGCTGAAATTAAAACAGCCAAAGAAGCAGCAGACGATACTACCAATTCCCTCAGAATGCAGATAAGTTCTGTGAGAGAAGAGCTTCAGACACGCAACAAGGAGGTCACCTCTCTGTCTCAGGAGCTTGAATCTGTGAGGTCGGTGGTGCAAGAGACCGCCGGGAGCCTGAGGGAGTCTCTATCTGCAGCGGAGACTGGAGTTCAAGGCCTGGGGGAGCAAACTGTGAACCTGCAAAGCAGCTTGGAGCAGGTCACCGATGCTGTCCGCGCTGTTGAGGAGCGAGCAAATGCAGCAGCAGCTCAGGCCCTGAGAAGAGCTGATGATCTGGAGACCAGGGTTAAACTGTCAGAGGAAAACAGTGATACGCTGTCTGCATCACTGTCAGACCTCAGCAGTAAGGTGGAAGGGCTGCTCGCCAAATACGACGGGCATGAAAGCAGGTTATCTGCACAGGGGGAGGCAGTGGAGAGAGTAAAAAATGATCTAAAACAAGAGCTGAAGGATTTAGAAAGCCGTATGGAGAAGCTTCTGTCCAACATAGGTCTGAGTGGAGAGGAAACTAAGCTAGCTTCAGAGGGCTCCACTCCTCTGCAGGTGGAGCTGGAGAGCTTAAGAACAGCAGTTGAAGAAGTGAGGAGCGAAGTAGCAACGTTAGAAAGCCACGATCTTGCCATTCGCACTCTAGAGAAGGCGTTGCAGGAGACCAAGCAGGAAGTCGATGGTTTAACAGGAGCTAAGCAAGATGAAGGACAAAGCAGCCTGGAGGAGCTGCAGAACAAATTAGCTGCTTTCGTTGAAGCCCAGAACCAGTTAACAGCAAAGAACACAGGTTTGGATGAGCAGCTGGAGGAGCTGGAGAAGAGACTGACTGTATTGGAGGACAGAATATAGATCACCTGTAACACAATGAGGCGTTCACTGCCTTTCAGGAAGAGAGAAAAACACCAAAGACTATCATGTAATGTCACACCACAATGCCTGAACAGGAGACAAAAGCTCCACAGTAGAATTTTAAGATGTAATTTCAAAAAGGTGGCATGGATGTCTTGATGCTGTAAGTCTTGTTAGAACAAAAATAATAAGGGGAAACAAAGCAAAAAAGAACTGCTGATCTGTGAAGTTCAAACCTACATTCTGCACTGTAGTTTCATTCTCTGATGTTTGTGTTCTTAGTTTTTTATTTTTTTTTTATTTTTACAAAAAAAACCTCCAGTTGCAAAAGGAAGACATTAAGCACTCCTTTGTTTACTTACGTTTTTCACTTGTTAGATTTTTTTTTAAAGAATAAAAACACCTTTTGTTCCAAAGCTGTGAGTTTTTCTTTTTAATGACCGAAATTTGTGATAAAATTATTTTGTTTAGCACCTTGTTATTACGCAATGCGAAACAAGGTGCATTTTGGGACAGCAAATACGTTAAGAGAAGCACAGATAACCAGTGTTTTAAATCCTTTAAGACAAAAATATTTCACCCAAATTTGAATATTTATGTAATTTTATACCAAATGAAATTCCCATTTAGTTTTTTTTTTTTAAGATTATTGTAACAAAAACCTTTTAACTAAACCTCATATGATGTATATTCAGGTGTAAAATAAAGATTATTAATTGTAAATACACTGTCATCAGGTTAAGTATTTATTTTAATAAAATATACTTATGGTACTTAAAATAATAAATGTATTTATATCAGATAAAGTTCACTGTTTTAACTACGTAAAGGTATCCTTCATTATAATGCAATTTAAACAAACTATGTATTTGGAATAAATACACTCATTGGTAGTAATTTTGAGTAACTACTTTAATCATTTTATAAAAAATAAACATGGAAGTTAAGTATTTTAAATACATAAGCTGTATCAAACTAATGAATAAGCATCATGTGAGGTTTATTTAAAAGATTTGTGTTAAATTTATGCGAAAAAAAGTAAGTGGGAATTTGTAATGTAATAAAATTACACAAATCGTAACCTTTGGGAGGCCATAGGTTACCATGGAGCTAGCAGCATCATGCTGTGGGATGCTTCTTCTTAGGAGGTTGGAAGTCATTCCAAGATGAATGAACCTATGGAAGCGTTTCAGAAACCTGACGTCATGACGATTCTGCACTACATATGGGCGGTATCTTTTACGCGTGTGGGAACAGAGTAGGTACTATATGGCCGTCTGTGACGTCAGCTGCAAGGCATCTATTAGAGGCTGCAATACAAGAGACTGGAATGGAAATTTATGACCCTTATTATACAGCCAGATCCAACAATATTCACATCTTAAAGTTGGTCCAGTCAAAACTTTAGCCTCAGATTAAATACAGGCATAAAAAAGAGCAGCGTGAATCTGGTAGAGACGTACAGGAAAAGACCTGCAGCTGTCATTGCACAGTGAGCTGATTCTACTAAGCACCGGCTGAGGAGGTGGAATACAAATGCATGCCACACTTTTCAGATACTTATACTAAAAACCCTCTCCTGATACTTTAAGCATGCTATATGCTCGTCAATCATATGAACCCCTCCCTATGTGAAAAACATCAAGGGGAGAGAATGCTTTCATCAATGGACGGTGGATAAATAAGGAACACTTAAACATCGGACTGATTTTATTTGCCATTTATATTAATCTGAAATAAGTCGAGTAAATGAGCAGTTTCTTATTTTCCATCTAAGGTGTTTGGTGTCATGATCTTGGCACTGATGCATGGTCTGATCACTCATTTCACACACATGCTTAGCTCCGCCCAGTTCTGATTATCTGCTTATCGGTTTCACCTGCATTAACATCTATTTAACCAGCCTTCAGACCAGTCATCAGTACCAGATTATTTCGAGCCTGGAACTTTTACCTGACTCCATCTTGGATTCTCCTTCAGTGCCTCACTGGATCTCTGACCTCGTGGCTCTGACAACCGACCGTGTCTCAAACACTGGCTTTGGCTTCGCCCTCTTGATTATCCTGCCTACATCTGTCGGCTTGGTTCTGATCTCCTGCCTTTCCTCTGATACAACGGTATCTGGGACTCGCTGTGCGGTAACCATTACGCCATGTTCACAGCCAACCCCCCGGGAACAATACACTACCTCTGGACTCAGACTGATCTATAAGACCAGAGGTTCCTCCCATAGACGCCGTCCATCCAATTTTGTTGTTAATAAAACATTCTGAGAAATCTAAATGTGTTGTCTGCCTCAAATCCCTGGATCCTTCTGTTCTGAGCCCTGATATGATTGTTTCCCTGTAGGAAAAAATCTGATTCAGTAAAACTTGGTGTTAAAAACATGATAGAAAATTACAGATTTTTTTTTCTTCAATTCTAATCTTTATTGCAGTAGTTTGACAGGTGATCACAGAGTAGTGAAGGTAACGTTCATCAGTTTAGGTTAGGCATCTCTCCAGTGTCTGATATGTCAGCCATCTGACTAACCTGTTTAGTTGTAACACTTAAATCTCCCTCCACTGCAGTGAGGTTCGATAAAGTCTGCCGGAGCTCAGCGATCTCCCGCTCCCTCTCTAAGAGATCTTCTGCCAGTTGTCCAATCCTGAGAATCAGATCAGACACCTGAGGCTCAAACCCTTCAAAGTCTCTTTTAATGGAAGCAACCTTTGGTTTGAGGTCAGCGGCGAATGTGAGCGTCCTAATGAGGCGGGCCCGGCCGCTCTCTAGCTCCTGCAGACGCTCTGAGATCTGCTGGTCCGCGGCTGTGAGCGCAGGGATGTGCTTCCGGAGCTGCTCTATGGCCTTGGTGTTGCGTTCAGACGCAGATCTGAGATTGGAGATCCGGTCGACGCTGCTGGCCAGAACGTCACCGATGCGTTTGACCATGCCGCGCTCCACCTGATTGGTCTTATCCTCCAGCTCTCCAAGCTGAGTCAACATGGAGTCCAGCTCGGAACGCAGACCCTCCATCCGTCGCACATCCGTCCTGACAGAGGACACCTGCAGAAGCAGCACCAACATACACTTTAATGACAATTTACTGTATTTTACCAATCTTCATGCGCAACAGTGGAATAAGACTTAAAAAAATATGTAGAGCTGAATTGCTGACATTATACAAGCTTTGATTTAACAAGAACTTAATGCATTAGTTAAAACTCAGCATGGATATGTAGTTTAATCTCACCCAAGTTTTAACCTTTTGACAACAATTATTGCATTAAGATAAAACGATGCTTCATTGGAAGATGCTGGAACATTAGATTTGGACGAGCTAAATCACTTCTGGATTATTTTTAGGCTAACCACAAATAATCTCACTGGAAAAACGATCTAGAAATAAGTAAAGATTTCTCAAATTAACTGAATTTACCTTTAATTTAAATAGCTAAAATGAGATAGTTTGCCAGTAGAATGAGTATTTTTACTCTTAAAATAAGATAGTTAGATTATATGCACTTGAAATAAGACAATGCAATTGTGTTTTCTTATTTTAAATGTAAATTGTCTTGTTCCATTGGCAAAATGTCTCTTTTACCTCCTCAATCCAAGAACACATGCACTTATTTTAAGAAAAAATTACTTATCTAGATTGCGATTTTTTCCAGAAACAATTTTAGGCACAATTGATCATACGATAGGATTTTAATCAATTTTAGCCCAGATCTCCAATATTTAAACTAGACGTTAGAAATTCATGAATTACACAACTATAACAACAAGAGAACAAAGTAAAACACCTTATTGGTAAAGTCCTTTGTGATGGCGGAGGTACGATGTTCGATTTGCTCCACAGCGTCTCTCAACGATGTCAAGCTGCTATGAAGCTGCCCCTGTTTGTCGCTCAAACCAGAAGCCCATACCTTCAGCTGGACGATGTCCTGCTCCAGAGTCTGCAGGCGAGGGGCCAGGTTCCCCCGCTGGGCCCCGAGACCCTCCAGCTTCTGCTGAACGCTTTCACACTGAAATGGGAAACAAAGTTTACCCAAATCAAGAAAAATGCAAAGAGCGCATCTTTATTCTTTTAAAAAAGTTACTTTATTGAGTCAAATCAAAATAACAACGTTTCCTGTTTTCAGTGTTTGAAAATGTGACAATATCACCTATAACACGCGTAATACTGAGATCAAGAGCAGGGTAACATGCAGCACAGATGTGACTGCTGACATCTGTGATGCTATTTCTGAGGTAAAAATGTTTAAAAAAAAAAGCAAATGCAACACATGGTCTGACTAAAAAACTACAGAAAACATTCAGAAAAAGCCCTGGCAGCCCTGGTTCCCAAACACTCATTCAATAATGTCATTCTGAAGACGTTCAGATGCTTCGTTTAGCTCATTTTCCAGCCACGGCTCATCCTCGTCATCTTTCCATTCCTCATCCTCCAAAGTGTCTGTTTGGGTCTCCGCCCTGTTTCCCCTCAGAACCCTGGTGAGTTCACTGACTGCCTCTTTAACTACGGACAGCTCATTCTTCATCTTCAGAATGCTGTTTTGTGAGTGCAGTGTGTCCAGCTCCTGTCTGATCTCCAGGATCTCGTTCAGAGCTTTCAGCATGCTGTCTTCCGTCCCAAACACCTGCAGCGTTGCCTCCTCCAACCTCCTCTCTGCCCCGCTTAGATCGCTGCTCAGCTTCAGGATGGAGCCTACGGCCTCCTCCACCTGTGGAAGGTTCTCCTCACACTGCTGAGCCTTGGGGATGTAATCCTGGACCTGGGAGCTCAGCTCAGCTTCCCTCTTGGTGAGGCTGCTGATCTGCTCCTGCAGCTTATGGATCTGTTTGGTGTTCCAGTCCAGCTGATCTTGCGCCCGCTTGGCATCGTCCTCTTCTGTCCGCTCCAGAACCCGGGCGTTCCTCTTTGTGCTGTCCTCCAGCTCCTCCAGCCTTTTCGCCAGCGTCCGCGCCCTCTGCTCTGCCTCGTTTACCTGCTCCGTGGCGCCGGCATGGGCCTCCCTGGCCTCGGCCTTTAGGGCCACCAGGTCCGAGTTGATGGCCGCCAGCCTCTCCTGCCACGTCTCCGTCACGTTGAGGAAGTGGGCATTAACCGTCTGCAGGTCTCGGGAAGCGGCGTTCTCTTCGGCTTGCATTGCCATGATAACGCTGTGGAGACCGGAGATGTCCTGCTGGAGTCTGGTTGCCGTGGAAACCGTAGAGAGCGCCTCCTGAAGGTCATCCTCGGATGCAGCAAGCTACAGCCGCAACAAAAAAAGAGTAGCGCTGTTTCTGTGAAGCTCTTTGACTCTTTGTACAACAGAACGACACTGTTGGAGGTTCTCGTGAAAGTCTACGGCAAAGTTTTTATAAACAGCAGGACTCATGTTCTGTTTATTAACTAATGCACTAATAGTTCACATTTAAATGCTTTAAGAGCAGAGAAAGGTTAGCTTGTAGCTCAGTATGTTTAAATATCTTATTTTATAACTAGAAAAGAGAAAAGAAATTAATAAAAACAAAATGAAAAGTACGTACAGGATTTCTCTTGATTGTCAAACAAAATAAAAACAAAATTCAGTTCCTATGCATCCATATACCAACATTATATCAGATTTAAAGACTCACTTTACATTTAGTTATCTCATGATTTAATTCTTTTTATATAGCAGCTTCAAAATAATATTTCAAACTAACTAATTGACCTTAGGAGAGGTGGCCCCGACCATAAGTAAACAGAGCAGCTGCTTTAGACCTGCACATCACCAGGGGGCTTATAAAACTGCTAAAACTAAAACAGCTTGGTTATTAAATGGACCTGAAAAATATCAATAGTAATCATTACTAGTAGTAAAGGCTGATTTATACTTCGAAACTAGGTCGTCTGCGTAGGTGTTGCAGTGAACAAAAAGACGTCCCCGCCCCCTCCGCAGACACTCTGCTGCACCTCTCCCAAATTGTAGTTGACTGCAGACAGTGCCGCAGACAGGAGGCTGGCTTGTTCTGATTTTATAAACAGCAATTGCGGAAAACTACTCGTGAAGTTGGACCAAATAGAAGAGCGAGGTGCGTGAGAATCAACGCCTCGGCCGTATCTAGACCCACAGCTAGTTGATGATTCTCTTGCGTTGTGGCGTGGAATATAACATAGCGCAGACCATGCTTCAAAATTGAGCATAAAGTAAAAATGTCTGCGTCAAGCTCACTGCAACACACTGCTGAGGGGAATATAACCAGCCCTTAAGGGTTACTATATTTATTATGTATGTTAGCTTTTATCCTCAGATTCCCTTATAAATAATTTGGGAAATTTGGTTAAAAAAAAAAAAAAATGAAATGATTTTTCTCTGTAGTGTGTCTGGGCTCTCCCTTAGAGACAGGGTGAGGAGCTCAGTCATCCGGGTAGGACTCAGAGTAGAACCGCTGCTCCTCCACATCGAGAGGAACCAGTTGAGGTGGCTCGGGCATCTGATTAGGATGCCTCCTGGACGTCTCCCCGGTAAGGTGTTCCAGGCACGTCCCACCGGGAGGAGGCCCAGGGGGAGACCCAGGACACGCTAGAGGGAGTATGATTCTCGGCTGGCCGGGGAGCGCCTTGGGATTCCCCTGTAGGAACTGGCCAAAGTGGCTGGGGAGAGGGACGTCTGGGCCTCCCTACTGAAGCTGCTACCCCCACGACCCAACCCCGGATAAGCAGAAGAAGATGGATGGATGGATGAAAAAAAAAAAAAAAACTACAAAAGACTCTTCTGGTTTTTACATATAATCAAATTTTATTCGTTTTTTTTCCTTCTACATCAAATAAAAAAACTATTATTTACTTAAAATATCACATTAAATTTCCTATGTTAGCTATTTAAATTTTGTTTTTATTATTATTATTGTGAAAGGCTGGCGCCCTCTGCTGGCGTGGAGGTTCTAAACAGCTGGCATACCGCATGTCTACTACTGCGGCTCAAGTTGATTTTTTATCACAGTCAAAGTTGATAAATTAAAGAACATTTCACTAAATGTGTAATATTTTGACACAGCTGTTAATTAGCAGTGCTGCAGGAATGTGAGCACTAACCTTCTTGGAAACTTTAACCATCTCCTCCTCCATGAGCAACAGGCTGGAAGTTTTCCCGTGCAGAACTCTGTACTTCTCTTCGATTTGAGAAAACTTTTCATTCTGTTGCAGCACCACCCTGGATGATAGAGACACACTCAGCAAAGAAACAAAAAACAGAAAAGAGATTAAAACTATAACTGTCCCTAACTTACCAACTCAGAATTCCGCAAGCTACAAGCGACAGTAAACACATCAAACCTTTCACGTCTGAAGCTGAGGACTTTTTATTTGCTCCACTGTTCTCTGCTTCTTCCAACTTCGCTTTTTGCGCTTCATCCTTTCCGTTAGCAGTGGAATTATGCGAAGTTTCGTCGTTCTGTTTTAGAGTCTTCTTCCTCTGTTTAATTTCCGAAGGCATTTTAGCAGTTAGAGAATAAAAACCGAATTAAAGTATTTAAACTAGGCCTTGCTTTGGGGAAAATGCACTCAGTTATTTCAACGGGTGTAGAATAAAACGGGATATCGTTCTAAAAAACAAGTTCATAATGAAAAAAGTAAGACATGCACGTTAATAACAGCGGAGATTAGCAAAAAATACCGCTACAAAACTCCTACTGTTCCCCACTGGCAAAATGTTGCCTTCGCGGGCAATTAGTTATTTTATAACCAAAACAAAGATGGTTATATCAAAACCGCACAACTAGTACGGTAGTAGTTAGCTATCACTAAAATCCGCTCCGACTATTGTGCATCAAACTTAAAATTTAATTTTCTGTTGCGTTCTCCGCACACATAAACTGTAGCAGTGGTAATATTTAAAATTCCGACTATGGAGGAGTTTCCATGAACGCAGCAGGAAGCCACGTTGGCGAGAGGTTTTGGTCTGAATCTCACTAATATTAGAGGATTTTAATATTTTAATTACGAAAAATAAAGGTTATATAAATGACCTACCATCTTAACCTGGAAAGCACTATATTTTTCTTTAACAATTTTGTAAAATGTGAGTTTATATGTCCATATGTACCAATTAAATACCATTATTCCAACTATGTAAAAATGATAAAAGATGTGAAGTTTACAGCATTTAATTTGAAAAGGCAAAGACCCAGCCATAATTTTAAAGTAACAAGCCACGAGGTTTTTAAGTTACTCTGAGGAATCCACATCTTTATTTTCTTCATACTTTTCATATTAAAAGCACAAAAACACTATTTATTGAAAATGTAACTCTAAAAGAGATAGTTGAAATGATCAGGGCCAAATAAAGTCCTTTATTAATCTATTATTCTCTCATGGAGCCTAAACTGTTAACTCTGTGATTTAGTTTTAATGTACCTTAATACATAAATAAAAAGACAACTAAACTGTGTATATGGAAATCTACACGTCAGGCTAATTATAAATGTTTGATTTTTGTCATGTTAGAACCATAACACTCAATCACTGCACAGCAGTCTAATCACAACGCATCACAATGTATATCCAGACTGACCAAATGATTTTATGTCTTATGCTGCAGATAAAAATTTTTTTGAAAAAGTATATATTAAGAGGTTTTCTGGAAAGGTAGCATAAAACTAATTGTTCATTTAAGATGCCATGTGAGGCAAAAAAAAACCTCAAAAAAACAAAAACAACAAAAAAACAAAGATAAATAAGATCCTGAGCATACCATACCACTGTGAAACATGGTGGTGGAGGCATGATGCTGTGGGAATATTTTCCCCAGCAGGGACAGAGAAGCTGCTTAGAGTAGATGGAATATTGGACTTAGGTAATAAAGAGAAGAAGTAGGGCAAAAAGAACTTTATTTTGGCACAGCTGCAGAGTTCCTGCAAACATTTGTGTCAAAAAAACAACAAAAAATGATTATTGATAGCTTTATTTTATACATAAATGACAACCAATAGCTCTTCACAACACTATACTACACAGCTATTACTGGAAAAGCTATGGTTCCATCTCATCTTCAGGATCTGTGTTCTACAAACTGCGGAAGGATAACGAAAAATTGAAAAACTGACATTGTTTGTAACCAAGCAAAAGGACAAAGCAAAAAAACAAAAGTATAATTAACTCTGGGTCAAGGAACATTGACGTCAAAGCTGCCACGTGCAAATTATCATTGTTTCCTTCTGGAATAATCAGGTAACAAGAATCCAAATATAACATTTCAATCAGATTAAGTGAACTAGAGTTCTTTGGATCAAAGCTTATGGTGACGGGAGTTAACTTGTCCAGAATCTTAAGCAGTCAAGTAAAAGGTAACAGAAATCTAGAAGGTGTTAGCAGTGCCAGCTTTAGGAACTACGATTGGAAAATAGGTGACTAAATATCAGATTCACTTCATAAAGAATCCATGAAGTTGGCAGATGGTAACTCTGGAAATTTCTAGTCCACTTTTGAATGTCTCACATTTTCTGAGCAAATCCTAAGCAGTATTGACTGTATACCTGCTGGCCTGACAGACAAAGAGCAACAGCAATGCATGGAGGTCCTTTTATGTTTTTACAACTATTGTATTGCAACGGGACGAGTGATCTAACCCACTTTGCATACCAAATATATTGGAGTAGATTAATGAAGTATCCAAAAAGGAGACACTTTTCAAAATGGGACTATCACTGAATAACACAGCAGCCATGAAGATTCAACAGCAACGATAACTACAAAAATTCATCTGACAAAAACTTTGTAAATTCAACAAGTTTCCAAATGAAAAAAAAATGTTTCAATACAATCCAACCTTACAAGCTTAAAGGCACCTTTTCATTGTAATAACGCTTAATATTCAAATAGTGACAATAAAGTGGCAGCCCGTTTAGTCAAAAATGAAAAGAAAAAAATCCATTAAATAGTGCAATAAATCTACAAAAAGGTAAATTAATATTTTAATAGTCTAACAAGTGTTTTTTTATTTTTTATTATGTAACGAAAACAGAAAAAGATTGTCTTTGGTAAAAAAATTCAAATTAGTTAACAGAAATCCCATTTTCCATTTATAATTTTATTTTACTACATAGTAAAAGTCATGTTTTTTTGTGCCATTTAATTCCCATTAAGTATAGACGGAGTGCTGATGAAAATTTAACAGTCAGCAGGGGGTAAATATTATTTTACATTTCTTAAAAGATGTATTTGAGACACTTTTTATTGTGAAATTATGCTGAAACAAACTTCTACCTTTTTAGAAAACTAAAATTGGTTGAAGAACTCTGAATTTATGCATTTTCAGGACAAAAACCAGACCTATAGGCTCAAACATCCCTAAATATTCCTTAGGAATTAGGAGATAAACTAAATTTTTCCACACATCTCAAAGCCTTGTGTATTACTGGCTGGATTTTAGGAAAAAAAGGCTATTTTATATAGTTTGGTTTTCCTGGCAGTGACTACATTTTTTAGTACAATAGAGGTCGGAGTTTCCCCAAAGCCTTTTTCAGTCATGCTTAATCCATTCTTAAACCAGTTTTGGATTCTTGTCCAGTTAAAGCAACCAGCTGCCCCCTCAGAGAAAAGGACATTTATTGGAGTATTACAGGACGTAACTAGAACCACCAGAGTTTCAACCTGTAAATCACTGAAACCTGCTGGTACATGAGTGTTGAGTCTTACTAAAATTAATTTAACATCCTCAGGGATAGGAAGGTGCTGAGCAAGAAAGAACATGAGCCAAATTTCTATTATCAACAGGGAGAAGCCAAATACCTTCTAATCAGAGGATGAAACGATGAATACTGTACCATATGTCAAACATGGTGGTAATAGCGTCATACTGGGGTCCCATTTTGTATACTTTTACGTCAAAATGAAACTATGAAAACAATAAACTACTTCTGGTCTTTAGATTTATCTTAATTCCTGAGCTCGATGGTTTAGCCCAACTGGGTGTTCAAACAGGTTCTTAAATGGACCCGAAAGGGCTTCTAGAACAGTCCTGACCTCAGCATCAATCAGTGAAAAGTAGACTAGTATGTGAATTGAAGACTGATAATCAGACTTATTTAGTTCTAATCTGTAAAACTCATTCAAGTTGTCTGTTGCCTAAAAAATTATCCCAAGGGAAAAAAGGATGCGTTTCACTGGATCCTTAAAAGTCCAAAATCAAAAAGACTTTCATAGCGTTGGTGAATGTTAGAAAATCACTGATCGGCATTCTACAAAATCTTCATCAAGTATTTCTTCCTTTTTTAACTTCATTTGTTAGACCTTTACTTAAAACGTAAACAAAGCTAAATCAAATAATCGGTTATAGCTCTTCAGAATGTAGATGAAAACTATCTGCCTCCTTCAGGTTTCGGTTATCGTTTTGTTTGGTCTGGTCTGTAAGTGCACTTCGGGAGGTTAAAGGACACTTTGAAGCTTTTTTCAAACTAAACCGAGAGAAATCTGTAGCAGCATCATGATGGATGGACCCAATTAACAAAACTGAATCTAGTGTGAACTCAATAACGTTAGATAAAAAGATGGAAACACCTTCTTCATGACACTTTGAAGCTACTTGATCTGCTAACTGAAGCATTTCTAAATACATAAACCCAGGAACCTTAAAGCAGAGTAACAATATTCAAGTCTAAGTTAAACAGAAGATATCTAATATCTTTTATATCCCAACACGTCACTTAATTCCAAAAATATACACAAGGTAATTTTTTGGTAATTGTGCAGACTTGCTACAAGTATCGACGTCTCTTCAAAGCTCACTGGGAATGGTATTTACATCCAAAATGTCCCTTAGGAATTGTAGTGGTCCTAAAAAGGAAGAAGACAATTAGCTCATCAAGGAGGGACGGATATTTCAAGATTTTATTCTGGAGTTTAAAGTTTTTCACTGACCTGAATTGTGTTGACTACGCCGCTAGCCATGACCGACAGTTTCCCAGCAACCGAGCGCATGCCGAGTTTGAGCCCTGACATGTCCGGAGCGCTGGGCAGGACGTTGGTCAGGCGATAGGAGCCTCCTGTGGAAATTGAAACTAGAGTGACACGGAGCAAACAAAGACTTGGCTCATTTTCATTTCCAACTGCACTCTCATGACATCACTGGTTTCCAAACGTTTAAAAAAAAAATATATACTGTTTAAATTTTATTTTTTCTCATATCTCACCAACCACCAGTGGTGTCAAAAGTACACACTTTTGTTACTTAAGTAGAAGTATAGATACTGCAGTTTAAAAACACTCTGGTAAAAGTTGAAGTATCAACTTGACCTCTTTACTCAAGTAAAAGTGAAAAAGTATGTGCTCCAAAAACTACTTAAAGTATAAAAGCATAAAGTAGCCTTTAAAAAAAAACAGCCAGATGCCACTATATGAATTGAAAGCTCCATTTTTCGACTATTTTGAAAAATTCCTTGAGATAGGGCCAAGTTGGTCTCCGTCTCCCGATACACTCTCTCCTGTGTCCGACCTTTCAGACATTTCAACATCTTTTTCTGAATCCAACATTGTAGCATGGCATAGACAATTCACTTTTACAGTTTGAAGAACACCTGCTTGCTTCTGATGATTTCCTTTAGCTAACCAATGAGTGTTTGCGTTATATGACTCATCCAATTACACTAGTTTTCACTAGATGTAGATGGCGCCAATGATCTGCATTG